TAAGCATAGTATTCTGTTCAAGGAAGGCAAATTTTCTTAGGTGAAAAACGGAGCACTTTTTTTTATTTTGCTGTGTCTACCAAAACCCTTCTGTGCTGAGAAAATCTAAAGGGACTAAACATTTAATTAGCCAAGTTATCCTTTAAATTTAATTTGGCTCTTCATTATTCATATGCCTTCCAGTGCTACTCTCTTCTCATTCAAGTTACACACCCTGAACCCGACAGAGATTTAACTCAATACATCAAACACTTACTGAGAGCTTCTAAAGGTCAAGCCTTATATTAGACCCTGGGGGTATTAAAAAAATGTTTTTGTAATACATGTGCACCAATATTTATATGCATAAACACAGAGAAAGGAAACTAAGGTAATAATAATTGACAGTAAGGATACTAATGGTTCTATCTGGTTAAGATAGTGGATTCCTACTTGCTCTTTTATTATTTTTCTGAATCATAGAAACCTCTGTAATATGCGCATATGTAACTCATAACTATTAAAAAAAATAAGGTCCCTTCGATGGGAGTGATTGAAAGGGAAATAAACTCTGCTTAATTGCATATTATAGTTAGAAAATTAATTTTCCCCTAATGAACAAAAAATTAAGTTCCCCTCTACAAAAGTCTCAATTATTATCATCAAAACAATTTTGAGAATCTGAGATGCTATCTGACAGCAAATGAATTTGGACCTGACCAAGCAAATTAAGTGGTCAAAATCTAATTGCCTCAGGTCATTAGTCACTGCACCACAAAGAGAGTCCTTGGCTTTAAAAATACTATTTATAATGCTAGAGAATTTATGGCTCCAAAGCCCAGTGTGAACCAGAAAGAAAAACTTTTTATTTAAGAAAGAAAATTAATCACTGGAGCCTATGTATTTATTTTTGATGGTTAGCATTGCTTTGCCTCAATAGATACAAGTGAAAAATAAGCTTTTGCATGTGCTCTGGATACATTAGCTTATGTTAGAAACCTGAGTAAATATAATAATACTCAAAGAAATAAACTGAAAACCACAAAACAAATATTTATAACCAAATGTTCTACCACAGCACTACCATTGAAATCCCTCTTGAATAAGCCCAGATTAGTAGTTGCAAAGTCAAGTTGAAAAGTGAGAATCACTAGTGACTCACCTTTAAGGTTACATTTATCAGAAAGATTAACATATGCTACCCAGACACATAACTGCTATGCATCAATTTCCATCAATCATAATAGACCATCTCACACATCACTGAAAGCTGTCAGTTAACCAGCTCTTGATTGCTCTGAAAAATCACTTTCTCCACTTTGAAATTGACAATAAAAATAAAACCTCAGTTTTGGAGTAGGAGAAAGGAAAGGATGGAGTTTCTACTTAAGTTAAGAAAACTATGGGCTGTCTCTTAACCTCCAACCCCTCGCCCTTTGCTTTGCTTTCCCTTTACTTACACTTTCCATCTGTCAACAACTGCTTGTAATTTTATTACACTGTCCTGTAGTTGATGCAGAGTTGGTATTATTTTACAGAGTTCTGTTAATGGACTGGATAAATGGTAATGCTATTTAAACTAGTCTCCTGCTCCAACAAACACAGCTGCAACTGTACTACTATTTCTGAGCAAACATCTTGACCTGAACATGCAGTGCTCTCCCAATCCGTCCACAGAGAAATTGGAGCAGACAGCAAAGGAAAAGCATATTTGGCCGCTAGCAGCAACCAACCGTGTCGGATCATAATTCATATACAGTGTACCCTCTTTTCTTTTATATTGCATTTAGGGTCCCCCCCAAAAAAACATGTGCTTCTTCACCTGGCATCTCATTTTCAGTTAAGAGCCAAATGGTGACTTTTCATGATAAAAGTACAATGAAGAGCTGCATCAAGTTCAGTACATGAAACTAGCTCTAACCAAAGCAAAAAAATGATAAAAATGAAACATCAGTGTATGAATTATGTATTTAACAAGTTAACTTTGTCGCTGTTTGATGCAACAGGGGAAAAAAGCATTAAGGAAGAGTGAAAGGCACAATAAACTTAAAAATGAAATAAGAGATAGAAGTTAGCATTATGAAACAATTGATAGAGAAAATAAATTCTAGATTTGTTTCTTTCTTAAATTCTAGAGCTGCATGGCTGTGCCACCCTACTCAGTGGGCCAGCTTACATTGCCCATGCAACAAACCAAGATTCTCCCTGTCCCAACATACTTTTCTTGCTATTTATCAAAAGTCCCATATCTTTATTCTTTCACTCATTCTTCCTGCAAAAGTTTCATTTTTAAATGAAATCATTCTCACATGTAGATTTGTGCACATTTTCCATCTGTGAGAACATTTGTTTCAAGAGAACGACAAGGCACCTGTACCCTAGAAAGAAAATCTGAACTTGTGTCCTTCTGGTGGAAATTACAGCAGATGAGCAGTCAGCTTCACAAACTTTTTTTCCTTTATTTAGTAAAGGCTCTTCAGCAAGGATGTTGATTCATTAGCAATCACCATCATCAAAAAGTTGTGACAGGTCACTTATAACTTATCCTCTGAAGAGAACAGTCATCACTAATCATTGCTAAAATCTCATTAGAGTCAGCCGACAGCATCTCAACAAAAAATGATGAAATCTACACCTCTGTGTTTCTCTGTTTCCAATCAATATTAAACATCAAGTCACTAAGATCTCACTCATTTCAGGATTTTGATACCATTCAATTTCCTCTTGCAACTAGTCTTATCTAAGAAACAAAACTTTATCTCCCATCACACACCCCCAAAGGACCCTCTGAGCCAACCAGACACATCAGAGCTCTGAACACATTTTCTAGCTACTTGTTGCCCAGTTTTTAATATGCTTTTAATTCACTAGCAAAGGCTACCTTATATTTTTATGGGATCTGTTCGTTTGATTCACTTCTTAAAGTTTTCAAGTCTCTTTCTTTCATACAGCAGCTTCATAAAGTTTTAAAATCATAACAAAGCATAAGAAAAAAATTCTCATGGTCCACTGTGTGATAGTTTCAAAGAGGACAAAATGTGAAAAAGAATATAATCTGTACTGGATACCACCACCTGAGGCCTCCTAAAAAATTCAAACAGGGCCTCCCTGGTGGCACAAGGGGTTAGGACGCAACCTATGAAGCAATCTGCAGCCTCTGCAGCACAAGTTCAATCCCTGCCCAGGGAGCTACCCACATGGCGCAGCAGACCTCTCCTGACTCGCCTGCTGCTCCCCTCAGTAGTATACGTCACGTCAGTCAATCTGCCTATTCTGTTCCCCACTCTGTCTCTGGTGAATCCTCTCACCCTCCACACCTCTGGCCTGTACCCCAGTTCTTGTATGCATAAATAAATAAATCTTAAAAAAAAATTCAAATACTTCTAGACTAAGAATCAAATATTCTCAAGAGAGATTTAAAGTTACTTCCTGCACACCCCCCTTCAGCTTCATAATTTTAATTCTAGATTGCAGTCATTCTGTTTATCCTATATCTTCACAGCTACAAGGAAAACACAATTTCCTAGAAAATGGGGACTGTTTTTATATGTGTAAACAATTAATATAAGTAGTAGTTTAAATAGTACTTATTGTATATTAGCATTAAATTTAATTCTACAACACACCCTCAATCATCAAAAATTAAAGCAGTAAGTAGAATACTATTAAAAAAAAAATCTCTACGACCATCCTCAGAAACTATGCTCACATACTTAAGTCTCAAATTATATAAATACCTATAATCTTTCTAACAGTGTAAATATTATTTCCTTGGTAAAAATAGTCCCCAGAAAATTCTTGTTAAAAAGGCAAACTTGAGGTTTCTTTATTTGACTTTTAAACAGTAATTTCAATTGAGCCAATCAGCCGGCAGGGAATAGGGAACACAAGGAAGAGGAGAAATCCTGCTAGGTGCCTTTGGGAAAGGGCAGGAACAGTAACAGAAAAGTCACTCTGGAGAGAAGACCTGGTGTCAGCTGACAGCCCCCTAGTCTACTGGGAAAACTCCCTACTGTGAGCTATGGTATCAAAAGGACCTAGCAGAGACCCAGGGGATGGGATGATATCTTCCGACTTCTGGAATTGACAACAATATTGATCTAGCAGGCTATGAAGCCTTTGCCACAAAATCAAGTTCAAGAAAAAGCAATCTGCTCACCTTGCCTACAAACATGACCATGTGGGGCTTCCCCAGCATCCAGGCCGGAGCTGTGGTGAGCAATCTATTCTACCTATGCCACAGTCTCTTCTCAGCACCCATTAATATCAAAAATCACTGCTGTTGATTTTCCCAATTCTTTGTAGCTTATTTTCCATCTGCAGAAGATCATTCCTATAGCTGCAAATCTAATTTTAAATGATTTCAGAAATGTGTCTTCACTAGTACACCTGAGGTGTGTAAATAAGCTGACCAGGGAGGGAAAATTGATTCTGCCTAAAACCCACATTAAGTTCTTTCCAAAGGAAGGAGCATTCCCAATTGTCATCCCTGTCACATTTCAATATGAAATCCTTGCCTAATTGCAGTCATTCATATTGCAGATTTTGGAATTCTGGCTTTAAAAGGAACATTTAAGAGGAAATTTACACCCTTTTAAAATACCTTATAATATTTCCAGACCAGTAAACTACTTGAGTTCAGAAACAATATCAAAAAGCTGACATTAAGAACTCCAAACTTTACAAGAAAACACTGCCAATTTCCTCTGGAGAGGAAGCAGCACAAGCTTCCCCTTCGGAGCTTAATCAAAAGTTTCCCAAAAGAAGTAAGGCACATCTCTCATCGGCGAGTCACCAAAAAAGAATATTACACAATTACAATAACACATCAATCAGTAAATGCTAACCAAATAAAACAATCGGAACCACTGGAAAACCAATTAGAAATTTCCATACCAAAAAAAGGGCATACTTTTAATCCATTAAACTATTGGGGAAGCGACTCCAAGAAAGCACAGGGAAACAGATCCAAAATACATGCAATAAAACACAAAGCAACAATAACCGTTTTGTCTACTTACAGTCTGTATAGCTTCGCAGTCCCAAGAAACAGCAATTCAGGAAACAGCTGAAGGTGATTTCTGTTTAAACGCCTTTTGAGAAAAACAAAAACAAAGTGTATGTTACCTAGAAAATACCCGGCAGTCAGATTGTGATGTAGTAGTGTCATGCCTCACCCTGTATTGCAGGAAAGAATGAAAAGACATTCAAGAGAATTCAAGCATTGCAAATCAAAAGTCGGTTACACCTTTTGTTACATGACTCCTTAAAGCAATTTTCCATTATGCTTACTCAGAGGATGATTACTGCGGCCTAAACTCTAAAATCACATCCCATGCAACATCATTCAACCAGAATATACACAATGAAACAAGATTTCTTGAGTCAGACTCTGGTGTCTACGTGAGGTGAGTTAGGGAAACAGTAGAAACTCCACAGTGACTGGCGCCCTAATATAATTTAGACACTGTCCCACAGGACCTACATTTTCAGCCAAGTCTTTGTGGGGAGATGATAATTTCAATTCCATTGGTTTTTCATTTAGTTTCAGGGAAATCCATGCAAGCGGTATTGGTGTAGTTTGTTTCCATAGGCAAAGTCAGAAGAAAACCAGCAAAGTTTAAGCCACAACTGAATTTGAAGCTGAGTTGCAAGTAATAGTAGTGGGGAAAAATGTTTAAATAATGATTTTTAAATGGTTAACTGAATTGAAATGTTTTAGAAAAGAATTTAATAGCAACTCTAACTCAAGCCCCAATGCTTTGTAACTAAGTTCTTTTGAACTACACAAGTGTAGGGGCAGGAATGACACGGAGCAGGTTTTCTATGATCCAGCAGACCGGGTAAAGGAGGAATCGGAGTCCTCAGTGGTTTTGCAGGCTTTTATTGGGATTACTAGGTACACGGCAGGCAGGGGTGCTGGGGGGCTGGGAGGCTGGGAGGCCTCCCAGCCCCCAGCAAGTCTTCACTCTATCTGGGCTCTCCGGCCTTCTCTGCTTCTCTCTCGGCTTCTGCTACTTCTTTCTCAGCTTCTCTTTCGGCTTCTGCTGGCGTCCCCATGACTCCGCCCTTAAAAGCCCACAGCTTAGCCCAGGTGAATCCCATCTACCTATGCCCACACCCTACTCCAAGTGCCCGCCATCAGGCATGCATTCAGGACCACAAGGATCCATCATCTATCCTGATGGCGGGAGGGCAGAAAAGCCTGACATTTTTTCCTTACCCTATAACAAGCATGCTGAAGAGTGGGCAAATTCATCCCAGTCCCATCAAAATACGGAATTTACCATCTCAGTAAAAATAGGTAACTGTCTCTCTCCGCTTCTCCCAAATTTAAATACATTGATGACAAGTCATGCAAAAGGTACTTCAATGATTTATAATTTGTTATAGCTCTAAAGGGGAGAAAGGAGGTCAGGGATCTAACATCACCCTGGAAAAAGTGGAGATATTTCTGAAGTCCTAAAGATAATATTAAAGAGCTAGGAAAAGGGGGCATACAATCGCGACATATTTAAGTGATCGCCAGGTGGAAGCAGAATGATATATATTTTGTCTCCAGCAGGTAGAAATGGTACCAGTGATTAGAGTGTTTAAGATCATAAGGTAACTGCTTCCAAGAACAAGAGACATTAAGAAATGGAATGATGGATCTGTCAGGGGAAGCTCTCAACTCCTTATTCAATGCAAGTGGACTCTGCATTTTTTTCTTTTCCTGCAAGGATGTAATAAAAAACTGCCTGCTTGATGTGAAAAGTTGGACCAAGTGCATTTCAGAACTTCTTCCAACTCTAAAAGGCCACAAGGCAATGATGGTAATCATAAAATTTGCTTGATCAACTCCTACTATTAGGAAGTTGGTCAGCTACAGAAACATTCCCAGCACTTAATAAAATGTATGCTCATAAAAAGTACACCAAGACAATTAGAGGAAAATGGTAAAATTACTGAAAGGGTGAGCTTATTCCTACTTATATTAATTCTAATGAATGAATCACATAACAAGGTTAAATTTAAAGGAATACCAAAAGTTTTTATTTATTTTTCATTGCTGGGCATGATTCTGAGGAAAGGGTACTCCCAGAGTCTACCATTCTAGAACTTTAATGAAATATAACCAAATTATGACCTTATTATATTTACTCTTATAAAGAAAATAGACACATTCACAATAACAATCATCAGAATATTTTTAAGGAAGCAATCATTCTCCAAAAGAATTCCACTCTTCAAAGAACCAATCCCAATTTGTAAGAGGGCAGAGACCTGGGCTTTTATAATGTTTCGATTTATAAAGTTTTAAAATCTGAGGGTTGAGGGCAGGAAAAGAGTATGCAATGAATGAAGGACAACTCAGAGGGGAATGTCTGATCCAAAGCAGTGGACACCCCCACAGGGTCCATGGTCTCCAGCCACAAAACTCACTCCCTCAAATGCAAGTCTCTGCAAAGGCCAAGTTCTATACAGACTGCCTTTCTTGTTCTCCAAATGGTACTTTTCTTACATCCTCACACCAACTTATATTAACTCATGTACTGGTCGATCTCCTACTAGGCTGTAGGTTCAAGTACAAAGACCCTATCTTTGTATTCCCTCCCTTTTCTCTGGCCCTCAGTAGGTGCTTGGGAAATAATGATTGCAAACAAACTGTCCTCTATGCATTTTGATACGGTTCAGCAAAACCTTAGCATATGTATTTTATATTTGACCAATTTTCCTCCAACGTGCTCCCTGAGGCACCTGCCCTAGATTTTCTCTCACTACCTGGCCAACACACCCCCACCCCCCAACCAAGACTGCTCTCATAGGTTCTCTACAGCTTTACCTCCTTTTCCCTCCATCAACCTCACTCTCCTCACCTGTCAACATTATCAAGAAGTTGGAAGAAATTCAGGATGTCTAAACAAATTCAGACAGATAAGGAACTAACACCTGCAACTCAATTTCTTCAGATATTGTGAGAAAGCAGCTATTTGAAATTGGGTACAAGCAGTGTCTTATTCTTAAGTATTATTAGTTATTTCTTAATTAATGTTCTCATGTTACCAGTGTTTCTTAATTCACTGCAAAAGTAATAGCTAACGTGTGTCAAGCTTACCAAGTGATGTCAGTCATGAGTATTATTCATTCTTCACAGCCATCCCAACATGAGCAGGTACCATTGTTACACAGCTCATAGAAAGTTAAACTAAAACTTGACTCCAGAATATACCCTCTGAACCGGTCCTCTCAAAAAGACACAGTCTAAACAGTACTCAACAGTAATTCAAAATAATAGCATGGGGAGATTTTCCTTTTCACCAATCTCCCCTTGAAGAAAACAATCTTACATAGCCCACTTCTTAAAAATCAGCCCATTTGTTAAACATTTATTAGCCAACCACCGAATACCAAACACTAAGTTTTCTTTTTAGAAAAAGTAGCTCTATGGTTCACTCGTGACTTTAAAAATCTATTTAAACAACTAAGTGGAGAGAAAAATGAAAATACGTATGAAATGTTTTTCTCTGAATTCAAGTAGCTTATCATGATTCCAAAAAATTATTATGGTCTAAATGTGTCTAGGCCAACCAAGCATGTGAAACAAAGTGGTATTAAGAAAAAGTGCAGAGGGCCTCCCCGGTGGCGCAGCGGTTGAGCGCTGGGTTGCGAAGCTGCCCGCAGCCTCTGCAGAGCAGGTTCGATCCCCGGCTGCTCCCCGGCCACCAGAGGAGGGTCCCACATGGCGCGCAGACCTCTCCTGCCGCCCGCTGCTCCCCTCAGCAGTGTACTTCGGTCCTTCTGCCTGCTCTGCTCCCTGCTCTGGCTCTGGTGAATTCTCTCACCCTCCCGCGCTTCTGACTGTACCCAGTGCATGTATAAACAAAACAAAAACAAACAAACAAATAAATAAATAAAATAAAACATGCCTCTAAAAAAAAAAAAAAAGTGCAGATAATGATGTTGTGATTATATGCATGGAAAAGAGTGAACAAGTCCCTTTCTTTAAAAAAGCACCAATATAAGGCTTCCCTTGGTGGCGCAGGTGGATAAGTGCCATGCTGTGAAGCTGTCCACAGCCTCTGCAGCACCCGTTTGATCCCGGCCTGCCGGTGAGGGTCCCATATGGTGAGACAGACCTCTCCTGTTGCGCCCGCTGCTCCCCTCAGCAGTGTATTTCGTCAGTCTGCCTGTTCTGCTCCCTGCTCTGTCTCTGGTGAATCCTCTCACCCTCCCGCGCATCTGGCCTGTACCCCAGTTCTTGTATAAATAAATCTTTAAAAAAAAAAAGCACCAACATACTTCTGGTTGCTGATTCTTTCTCTTCTGCACTAAGAATAAATGGAAACACAAGCCTTAAAAGAAAAAGTGAAACTCTTCCAAAATAGTCAATGAAAGAAAAAAAAAATTAAAGCAAGTTTTTTACATGATGATCTAAAATTAAATCCCTTAAACTAAAGAGCATTTTTTAAAAACCATCTAGACTTACTTTAATGGCTACTGAGGTGCATAACAATTTCTAAAGAGCTGAAGGAAACAGGACGTCACGTGTTGATGTTGCAGAATACTCTGTGCTTAGACATCCCAGTATCACAATAGTAACTGATGCAAATGAGATTTAAAAGTTAAAATCTGATGGTCCTAGAATAGGAAAACAGTAGTAATGAAAAATATGAAGTGAATCCTCAAAGGAGGATTTACAGGACCAATATGTTCACTCCATTAAGCTGAACAAGTGGATCAAGTACCTTTAGGCAGAACAAAGATAAAAAATGACATCCAAGGAGAGGTAAAATATTACCTCACTCACCTCTTGGGTCATCACCAATTACGCAGAATCTGGCTACAAGATATCAGGGCTGGCTGGTGGAATTCTTTAGATGGTAATTTGTGGTTTTAAGAAGGTATGTGATAGGGGTCTCGAGATTTTTTTTTTTCTTTTTTAGGGCAAATGAGAGATATCCCAGTGGCCATGTCCTGTCCTCTGTACTGCTGGTGACTTTTGAGCTTGACCTTCAGTGGGGAGAATGATCTTTCTGTATTGCACAAAGCACCACAGGTCTCTGAAATGATGATTCTTAACCCGCTCAGTCTGAAGAGCAACCTGAGCACA